GCAGGCAGGGCCGGGCGGGGGCAGCCACGGCGGCAGGCTTGGAGTGCACCAGGGGGCATGCGGTCGTGGTGGTGGTGGCAGCCACCGAAACGGGAGCGATTTGCTACCAGAGGGAGGCACGATTCTGTAATTTAAACTGTCTCGGGCGGAGGAGCGTCCTGCGCGCGCTGTGTGTGTGTGCTTGTGTGTGTGTGTGTGTGTGTGTGTGTGTGTGTACTGACACTGACAGCAACGCCGCCTTGTGATGCTGCCAGGAGCTGAGAGGGGGCCGAACGGCGGCGTATGGCAAGTAGAGTCCTGAGGACTCTAATCGCAAGTAGAGTCCTGAGGACTCTAATCGCAAGTAGAGTCCTGAGGACTCTAATGAATGGCAAGTAGAGTCCTGAGGACTCTAATAGCAAGTATAGTCCTGAGGACTCTAATGGCAAGTAGTTGTGCATTTCGCGGTGGAGGAGCAGGCTTTTCGGCAGGGTAAGGGGTAATACACATCTTCAAAAGAAATCCATTGAAAATGAGTAGGCACTTTAAAAGGAAAATAAACTAAAGTGATCACATATGGACACAATTTTTGTGCATTTTTTTCAAAAACAAACTTAGCTGTTTAGTCGCAGACTCTCTCGCGCGCGGAACTGGCAACCCCCGGACGACGCGGTCCTCTAAACTGCTACCTTCATGTGCGGGGGAATGCCCAGCCAGGACGCACCGCGCCTCCTATGCAGCCGCGGGCGGGGGCGTGAACCAGGGGCGTGGAGGTGGAGAAGGGAAAGGGAGGTGGAGCAGCGCCCGGAGCACACGCAGCGGAGGCAGGGCGGCCCCTGCACTCGAGAGAGTAGCCCCGGAATCAAACTGTCAAGCGCCGGCGCGCCCCGCCACGCCGCGCCACGCCCCGCCGCTGATATGGTACCGCACACGGGGCTTATCCCCCGACAGCATCCAGCTCCTTTCTTTTGGCTTCCTGATAATTAAACAGGGCTAAGTACGGGCTCTCCCCTCGCATAGCAGCCTCTGTGCTGCTGCAGCCGCGGCGGCGGCGGGACGGACGGACAGGCGCACCGCGCGCGTCAGGAGGAGGAAAGCAATGCGAGCAGCGGCCAAAAAAGCCGTCCGTTTCCTCCCCTCCCCCCTTTTGTTTGTATGTGTTTTGTTTTTGTATTTAGTTAAAAACAAGGCCGTGTGTCTTACGGAGCGCAGCATGGTCATTTCGGGTCAGGATTGGTTCACATCATGAAGGGGGCTTACGTGCTACTGGACGCTGTGGATCAAACACAAACACACACTCTCCTCTCTCTCTCTCTCCCTCTATCACACACACACACGCACACACACACACACATACACACACACACACACACACACACACGCGCACACACAAGCACGCCGCGTACAGCACGGAGAGCATGGTAATTGCGCTGCCGCCAGCAGTCGGGCATTACCCCACCGGCGGCGCGCTCTGGCGCTTTACTTTTGTTGTTAGTCGCTCGCGATTCTGCACGGCTCATGGGACTCATGGGGGAAGGGGATTTGGGATTTCACGGTCTCGTTGCGGGAGCGGAGGAAGGAGCAGGAGCAGGAGGAGGGGGAGGAGGAAGAGGAGGAGGAGTCCCGCGAGGAGCCGCACGCCGCTCCCCTCTCGACATGCGCCCTACCGGGGCGCGGGGCAGCCGAGGGGCGTCTAGTGGTCTAGTGCGAGAGCGAGAGAGGTAGGGACTTGCGTGAGAGTGTGTGAGAGAGAAAGATAACCGGAGGAAGAGAGCAGAGAGCCTCTATTCGAACCACGCCGCCGCGCCCCGCGGGGTCGTGCAGCTCGGATGCAACACGCTCAATTTTTCCCTGATTATCATTTCAGAAAGGCAGTAATAATAACGAGACAATCCCGGTCAGCGTGGCAAGGCAGGGTTGACGGTTGGTCGCGGCCTGTCCCGCCGGCCGGGCCATGTGCGCCGGGGCGTCCGGATGCACCGGAACCACGCAAGGCGGGGCAATGTGTCTCCCGAGGCCGCGACAGGTGCGCCGCCGCCCACCCCCTCGCGACCTGCACCCTGCACCGCCATACCGCAGCGCTGGCCGAGGGGGTGTTCCGTACCTCCGCCTCCGCGGGAAGGCCGCGAATTTCGACTGGACAGTCAAAGGTAAGATGGGGGGTGGGGCACACACATGCGGCGGTAAGAGGACGGACGCGTTCGGTTATACTCTTCTTCTCTTACACGAACGCCCCGCCCCGCCCCGCCCGCGCACGCACGTCATACGCACCATGGTGGTTGCGGCCGGGCCATTGTACTGAGGTCACCGGAAAGAGACGCACATGCACCGCACCGCCCAGAGCACCGCCGCCGGGAGCCGCAGCCGAGGCAAGCCTGGGAGTTTCCTTCGGTTTCCTTAGTTCCAGCTCGGTGGCCACCGGCACCGGCCGGCCCATACAGAGGGCAGCGCCATATGGCCACATGCCCCCGCCCCTTCTCGACCGGCACCTTCAAGACGCTCATCGCATCGTTCTTCCCTTCCTCCCACAAGGAGTGCGTGCTCGTCGCGTCCCGTCTCGCTCCCGCGGCCACCGCCACCCCATCGGAATCACATCTCGCGCTCTATCTCTCCGTTCTCACACTTTGCGTGGTCCGCTGCGTCCGCGCGGGGGTAGGGGGGGAGGGGGACAACTAGTGCGTGATGTTATGATGTTTTTAAATGAAACGCCCGCCTCGCCCCCGCACTGCTTACACAAAAGGAAAGGAAAGCAGGCAGGAAAATGGACCCCCCTACCACAACCATCACCCTTATTAATTTTAATTACCCCTCCCCCCCTGCCTCCACCTTGATTTTACCCACTACTAAAAACAAATAACGTTGGTAAAAATCGAGCGGCGCCCAATATTTGGAGCAGTATATACCGGCCCAATAAAACTCGTCAGGTTTCCGGGACACAATACTACTGCTCGGGGCCGGTTGAATGGACAGGCTGGCACCTTTCTATCGCGCTGCCCATTACCGCCCTATCTGGGCTCACGTATTCACTCGGAGCGGAGCGGCGCGGGGCGAGGCGAGAAGAGGACCCCCCGGGACCCGGCCGGCCCCGGAGCTGTTCACTCATTCATAGTTCCAAATCCGAGTAGAGTCTAGCCGAGCCGGCCGGGCAGCAGGAGTGGAGGACCTCATGCATCATCGAGCCCGGTTGCCACCGGCCGGCCGGGGTGTGGCGGGGCGTGGCGGGGTCAATGGGGCCAGAGAACATAGAAACTGGTCCAGGACGACTGCACGCCACGCCACGCCACGCCAC